TACATGTGTACAATGTGTAATGATCAAATCAAATCACTTTCTTCAGAGAGTTTTTTGTTACTTTCCAAACACATCTGCTGTTTTAATAACAACAATAATAATGATAGTGATAAAAAGACATAACAACTCCAGTCTAATACCACTTCCTGTGAGGTTGTGTGGAAGGAGCTCCACTACTTGCTATGTAGGTACTATCTTATGGGACCACCTTTACTTGGTCTATTTTCTATACAAAGAGCCTACCTAGCCCAGTGTCTGGCCCAGAGAATCCACTCTAATATCCATTCATACAATTCCATTCAAATATCCAGTGAAGGAATTAATTTTTCTTTCAGTAACCTATAAAGTAAGCATCTTGTTTTGCCACTTTGAGAGATGTCTATGTTTCTTGAATTTTAAGTACATTGTTTTTCCCAGAACTGAGAGCTAAGAAGTAGCAGAAGTGGGATTTGGAACTAGGTCTTCATGATTCTAAGACTTCTTTACTGTTGTGCAGTGCTGTTTTCCCAGCACATCAGACAGGGTGGGCTGTTTCTGGATGCTCGAGGCATAGTTGTGGTACAGTGAATAGAATGGAGTCCTGGGTGTATTCCTGAAGCCCTAACCTTCCTACTTCCCACTGGTGACCATTTATTTTTCTTCCACCTCTGGCTTCTTTATTTGTAAACTTGCCAGTTTACAAATGACAACTGGTGGACTTCTTATATGAAGATAACAAGAGTGAGTATATGTGAATTAGGAAGCACTAAGCAATTATAAAGGGAATTATTATTCTTTAAAAATTTCTCTTGCTAATTATTATGCAAACATTTATGGAAAGTCAGTGGAGAAATATTAGTGATAAGTAAAGAATGGTTTTAAAGCCTTGTACCAGTACTTGCAAACTTTTTCTGTAAAGACCCAGATATTAATTGCATTTGGCTTTTGGGGGCCACTAAGTTCCTCGGTTACCACTAATTAATTCTGGTGATGTAGCATGAAGTCAGTCGTGGATGGTAGAGAGATGAGCAGGCAGAGCTGGTTTTCAATTAGACTATTTGTCAAAACAAGTGGTAGGTTGGATGTGCCTCACAGGCTGCAATTTATGAAATGCAGTGTGGGCAAGATGGCGTGACCTGTGGTTAAACAGGGTAGATGGGCGTGCGCACGCACGCACACACCACACACACACACAATTATGTTTTGTTAAGTTTGTTAGATATATTCCAGGATTACCACTTTTAACAATTTTGGAGATGAGAACAAATTAAATATATAAACCTTGATTGTATGTTCAATAGCCTCCTAAAAGGTGCAAAGGCTGAATATGAATAAATACAGCTATTTGGTAGGCCTGATTGTTTCTGTTTATTTATTTAATTTTGGAATAGATATTCTGATTTTGACCTCTAATTGCCATTTGGCTTATCTTTTATCCTTTCACTGTGTCCTGAAGCTGCTAATGGTCAGTCTAGCCAACCAAACCTTTTTGCTTATTTTATTACTGTTCGTCCTGTAGATATTTATGTTTGTGATTCCTGTAGTCTTAAATATGCACATTCTCAAAAGCCTGGAGTGAGTTACAGAATGAAATAAATATGTCCTTTGCTAAACTAAAATAGAGTAGCTTCCAAAAACAAAATAATTGATCTTCTTAGCAAACATTTTACTCTTAGGTAGCTCTTCTGGATGTGGGTGTATGTTGTCTTCCACTAAAGTTTAAATAGCCAGTAATTGCTAACATAGTTTGTGATTTGGCTTCCTGTGTGTAGTTTATGAAACGATCTTTCCGACAGCCACAGGGGTGGTGGTATTTGTATAAGATCACAAGTGGTTTATACAAAAGGAAAATATTGTTTATTCACATCAGTGTCTTGCTCTCAAAATCTTCCCATAACTAGATGAGATTTTCTTTTTTAAATAATTGATGAGTTTATTTTTGTATCTTCCCATATTCTGCTGAATTGTAATAGATTTGCATTCTTGTAGCTGAGGATCCTCCTATAAAGGGAATGCAAAATATGTGCTACCTTCCCATAAATTTCAAGTTTGTAAGGTAGAATGGAGACACCACTGCAAACTCACAGTCATTGAAAACCAAAACCAAAATGTGTTTAGCTACAAGTCAGTGGTAAGACTCATGTGAGAGATGACACCCTCATACTAGTGTTCATCCCAGTATGTTAAAGCTGTATTTCTGAATGCTTGTGTGTAATTATGTAGCTCATCATGTGGAAATTTATTAGCTTCAATATTCAAAATTATTTCTTTTCCCGAGTATATACTTAAGCACAATAGGTTTAAAATTGTAATAATTGATTCTTAAAGGATAAGCAATCTGTAATATATCCATCTGATAGAATACCACTTAGCAATTAAATGAGGAACTTGAAAATTTAAAAGTCACTATGCTAAGTGAAAGATGCCCATCTCAAACATTTACATACTGTATGGTCCCATTGATGTGATATTCTGGAAAAAAATATTAAAGATGTGATGAGAGCCGATTAGGAGTTGCCAGGGGTTAGGAATTGGAGGAAGTTCTGACTTTAGTGGTATGGAAGAGAGGGGTGTTTGGGGTAACAGAACTGTTTTGTATCCTAATTGTGCAGGCATTAGTCAGATTTGTCCATGTATTAAAAATCTCAGCACTCTCACACAGGTAACATGTCAAATTTTCTTCAAATTAGTGACTTCTGTTGACATAAATATTAATTGTGCTCTTTTTAGTGAAAACAAAGTCATTGATATAGTTATTGGGTTTACAAAATAAGGTGAAAATAATACCACTTCTACTCAGTGGATAATACCAGAGACTCTATGTAAGAGTGTAGGGAATATTCAAAGTTATGTGTCCCCCAGTGGCTATAAGTCGTCCTCTCGTGCATATGGAACATTTTCCTGTTCTTTATGGTAATCACTTTCCTGCCTCGGTGTGTATATATGGTGTATGACAGTTACAGTGGCTGTGGGAATCATAACTTTAAGTTCTGTGACTTTTCTGTGAGTAAAACCAGCCATAATGTTGAATTAATGCCATTCCTCACATTGAATTTCCCTGCTGTTATAAGTGGAAGACTTACCACATTTTGAATAAGAGCTCTGTGTTCATTTCTGATAGCAGGTAAATGATGGTGGTTGTTTTGTCATTTAATTAACGTCATCATTAAGTACAGTGAGGCCAACCTGGGAGAATATATATCGTGTATAAATCTGTAGGGGGACCAAATTTAGGCATCCATCTGGCCTCTTTTCCCATTGCAAGTAGAAGATACCAGGCCAACATGATCTGTGGCTAATAACAGATATTTTAAACAGAAATTCTGAACCTAGACCTGGTAGTTTTTTAAAAAAAAAAATTGTCTTGAAACAGGATTGGCCAAATGGAACTTACTTCATTTAACCCGCTTGAGAACAATAGTGGGGGATTTTCAGGTTGCAGAGCATCAGATAACACTGGTGACTGTTGGCTCTGCATGTGAAGTCATAGTTATTGACATAGTAATCAGGAAGAAGTTGAATTCATGGGATTTGATAGTGTACAGTATTAAAGATATATGAAGAGATCTTTTAATGTTGTGAAAGTTGAGTAAGGTAATTGATTCTTATCATAAAGCAACTTTTGGACTGGCCTGCTGACTTTTTAGAGATAGCACATAAAGGAGATACCAAGAACACAAAGGACAGGTAGTTTAGCAAAGTACCTGCTGCCCCCTTTCTTGTTTGCTGGGAGGTTGAGCCCAGGGCTCCTTTTTTTGTGGAAGCAAACTTCTCACCATCAGTGTTGGGGCCTGAAAGATCTCTAGCAGGAGAATAGAACTGATTCCCTGTCTGGAACTGGGGTTTTTATTGCCACATCTAGCTCTGAGAGTGTATGTCTTGGAAGGCACCCTACCATCCAGGATCTCTAATTGTGCCCAAGATTTTCCTAGTGGTCACTATGGATGGAAGAACAAAGGACATTTCCTCAGTGCCTTGGGTCCTGGCTCCCATCCCCAATGATTCATGGTCATCTGATCAATCTCTGCAGACCTCTTTCCTGTCTCCAAAGTGGCCTCTAAACCTTGGAGTTATCTAACCATTTTTGGAGGGGAAATCCCATCTTTTATTCCACACAAGAAATCAGCTCTGGCTGATGTACCAGAAAAACAGGAATGTGCTCCCATGGCTTGGGGGGTGGGTGGGATCTGATCCTCTCAGTCCTCTCCATCCTGCCTTTTATTACAGTCAATTGTCCTCACAGAGCATGAAAGCTCTTCTGTGCACACCCTCGTCTGTGCACTTAAGACCTGACACAACTAAGATCTTTGCTGTTCCCCTACTAACTAATGAATCCTGCAAGTTTTAATACCTTGTGGAATCGCATCCAGCATGGGGGAGGTATGTTTATATTAGGAAAGATATATCTCTCACTGTGAGTTCATTTGGGCAGAATTTGCATTTTCTAGTTTTGGGTCAGTGACTGATTATATAGTTGTTGGGCCCATGGAGATCTGGTTTGAGGAAGGTCCTTCACATCTTGAAATGCTTCCTACATTATTGACATGCTCAGTTCTCTGGATCTCAAGTTGCTCATCTCCCTTGGAGTTGAGCATAATGTTGAATTAATGCCATTCCTCACATTGAATTTCCCTGCTGTTATAAGTGGAAGACTTACCACATTTTGAATAAGACTGCATGTGTCCTGGGGGGGATCAAGCCCAGATGGCCCACCCTTCTGTTTTCACTTGATCAATGGTATTTGCTTGCTAAGCACATGGATTAACTAGGGCTACCCATGGTCCAGCGGGAGAATAGAACTGGTTGTCCCAATATTCCAGTCAATGACTTTGGCAAAAGCTGTGGACAAACTAATGCCTTTCAGTTCACCTCTTCTGCCCACACAAACAGGACAGCAGCCCACACACCTGAAACTGGATATGCAAATATCAGATTTCCAAAGGGGAAGACCTGAGAACAGATATCATCATGGACAATCATTCATTTGCTTTTTAAATGAAGGCTTTTCTTCTTCTTTGCAGAAGTTACGTGGCAATGGTGATCTGAATGCTTCTTTGACGTCTCAACATTTTGATGAACAATCTGTGAGTGATGTTCCTTAAAAACAAACACTGAAGTAAACATTATAAGTGTTTCTCATCAAATGTTCATATTTCTTTGTCTCTTTTACTTCTAAAGAATATAAAAGCTCTACCCACCTTCACAAACCGGCCTTGCCAATTTTAGCTGGAAGAAATTAATTCAGTATCTATTGATTGGTCATACTGGAATAGAGTCTTCTAAAAATACACAGAAGCTATGAAATTGAGAGAAATGGTAAAGGAGACAAAGCCATTTTGAAGTCCTTTGAAATTTTCTAAAGAAGACTTGTCAAGGGCGGCTTTGGCCACAGAATCAATTAATTGTCTAATAAATGAATGATACATATTTTCATCTGTCCTCTTTGAGGAGAGGCAGACATTTAAACTGGCTCAATAATTTCACTGGATTCATGTAATATATATATATATATATTAAAAAATTGACTTCAACTTTATGGCCCTAGGAGATGGTATGTTTCTGGAAAGGAAAGTAATGCAGTTTGTGGGAGGTAAGAGAAGGAAAGTAAGAGGAGGAGACCCCAAGAGTGGGTGCCAGAGAATGAAAGAACATGTGGAAGATCTGGGAGACTGCTGGGCAGAGACGGTGTGGATGTCCCATGTGGATACAAGCAAGGGACATGTGTCTGATGGTCGTGAGGGCTTATTAGGAGGGATCTGCTGAGTGTCAGGCACTGAAAAGCTTACCACAGGTGGAGGAGGTGTGCCAGAGCTGTTGGGGATGGGTGTGAAGGTGGAGAATGGGAGGCATTCTATCTCTGAGGTTGGAAGTGTGGCCACAAGTTCATGGAGCCACGCTGGCAGCTGTATTTCTGCAGGCTGTTTCCTCTCAGAACTCTACCATCCTACTATAAGGAATCCCAGAGAAAATTGATGAGTTTAAGGATTTTCAGAGATTGGCATATCCCTTATCTAATTATTGGGAAGTTCATCCTGTGAAGAAATAATCATGATTGCCTTTGAATTCAGATAAGATCCTACTGGGGGAAATAAGAAGGATTTGTTAATAAAATTGTTGCAATCTGTATATGGGGTAAAAATGGGAGTTCATAACCCACTTGAATCAAAGTATGAAATATGATATATCAAGAACTATGTAATGTTTTGAACAACCAACAATAAAAATTAAAAAAAATTTGTTGTGTCAATCAACTTTTCATTGCTGTAACTAAAATACCTGACAAGAACAACTTAGAGGGGGAATAATTTATATGGGGTTATAGGTTTGGAGGATGTAGTCCAGGGTCAACCAGCTCCATTGCTCTGAGCCCAAGGTGAGACAGAACATCATGGTGGAGAAAATCTGCTCAACTTGTGGCAGTCAGGAAGCAGAGAGGGTGGGTGGTATTAGGGTGAGGAAGGGGTCAGGAGGGGACAAACCCTTCCAGGGCATCCCCTAGTACCCAACTTCTTTCAGCTAGGACCCACCTCTGAGTTGTCCATTCCACCATCAATGGGCTAATCCATCAAGGAGATCAGAGTCTTCAAAAACCCACCTCTGAATACCTGAGGGTTGGGGGACAATCCAGATCTAACCCTCAAGAGTAATGTAAATAAATTATCAATGTGAGTGAGGCTTGGAGAAAACACTTGACAATGGTTGTGACCTTTTTCCTTATTGAATTTACGAATGTCTTTGCTCGGGCAGAAATTTTCTTATTGGGTTCAAGACTTGGTGATTTATATGCCTCCTTTGTCTCTACAGACTCTCGAGGAGGCTGGTGATGGCCTAAGTAACCTCCCCAGCCCTTTTGCATACCTCCTCACCATACACCTGAAGGAAGGACGCAACCTGGTTGTCCGAGATCGCTGTGGTAAGGCCGGTTCTGTTGGCTCTTTGTAGCCTGAGAACCTTTTTCTGTCTACCCTTACATGAAGGTTGTTAGTCATGTTTTTCATGTCGGCATGGTTTAGGACACACCAGAACTGAAGCCTAAGCATCTCCAGGCACAAGACGTATGCAAGGAATTCTTTAAATGCACTGAACCCTGCTGTCATTTTTTAAAATTATTAAATTAACAACACTGACACATAAAGTTACTTTAGAATGAATAACTATGGTACCCTTATGCTTGGCATATAGCAACTATTCATAAGCACATCTGCTTGACCCTATCCTTTAACTATCTATAAGAAAGCTGTGAATAGATTTTTTTTGGATGAGGTCATCAAATAGACACATTGATAGAAATGTCCCTTAAGTCCCCACCCCATCATTCTGCCTTGAAATTCCACTGAACTGTCTATAAAAGTTATTATCTGAGATGATTCTGTACAAACTCCTGACATGTCTGTATACATTTCCTTATGTTCATACCTACATATATATGACAAAATCAAGATGGAACTATAATGCCCACATTATCCTATAATAAGCTATTTTTTAACCTTACAATTTTTGAAGATTGATAACAATATCTTGAAGTTTTCCCATGTAAATATCTTTTTAAAGACAATGTAATACTCCATACTATGAAATTTCATTTATCTCTTCTAATGATGATGCCTGTTTTTTGTCTACTTTTTGGCCATATAAATGATGTGTATTCCCCTGTGCACAGAGAAGGTTATACTTTACATTAAAAAAAAAAATCTCATGGGTTTAAGAGCAGACAGTGAGCCACACTGTCTGGGATCAAATTTTGGCTTCTTTATTCTTTGTTGTCTGATTTATAGGCTTCTAGGTGCCTCACCTATAAAACAAGAATACTAAAACAAGGTAACAATCAAAAACTTTTTAGGCTTTTAGGAGGATTGTAGATATTCACTTACATAAAGTCCCATGTGCTTAGTTGAGATTTTCTTTTTTATAACTCTTTATAATTTTCAGCATTTACATTTATTGTCTGATGCAAATATTTGTCTCCCCATCCTTTGACTCTCCCTAATCTTATGGCCTCTTGTGTCCTTCAGAGGTTTTGCATTTCATCATGCAAATATCACTGTTTTTTTATGGTCTCTTTTTTCCATGCATTTTGTTTAGTGGTTGACGTCTTCTTATTCTGAGGAGTCTTGATCTTGCTTCAGGCCGTGACCTCTTTCTCCTGTTGCTTCTACTCCTTTTGGAAGAGCTTTGCGAGGAATGCAGGGTCTTTGGTCTGTCCTCTGTGTCTCTCACCTCTCCTTCCTCCTCCATCCCATAGCCTTTTCCTTTGGGGAGGAATCCCTTGGTTTGGTTTTCACTCATCCATCTTCTGGTTGGTTGTTAACTTTGTGCTCTTCTGTTCACTAATTGAGCTGTCATGTCTTCATTGTTATCACAGGTCTAATTTTGTGTTTCAGAGGAAATAATGCCATATCCATCTGAGAAGATCAAGGATACATTTCAAATCCATTTGGTGGTTTTCTTGCTCTGGGATAGCAGTCCGTTATATTTGCTATGGGACTTTAGTTTCTTTGCAGGTCTGATTCTCTGAAGAGCTGTGTTCGTCTTGTTATGCATGTGTCCTTGGTCCCCCACTTATGGATGCTATTTTCCTTTGCTGTGTCCTGCCCTATTTGACAGTAAGGAGGCTGGGGCATGCAGTTGGACAAGATGAGCCAGTAGTTCAGGATGAATACTTCCCAGTCCTCCTTCCTGTTCCTCCTGGTTATCAAGTGACACTTAAGGCCTCCTCTCTGGCTTCCTGCCTGCCCTCCTGCTCTCCTGCAAGGGCCTTTACTAGTCATTGATCAGCATGCAGGGAAAGGAGCCTAGTGACCCATTTATCCTCTCTCCAAACATTGCACCAACCCTGCTGAGGTGATTTCTGTTTCCTGTACCTGCTGTCTCTAAGTTTGGCATATCCCTGATTGACTGCCCTGCAGTTTCTCATCCATTCCACCCCCGCCCTAGAAACCTTTTGGCTATGACTTTCTACTGCTTATGTTTTGGACCCTGGATTCTTTTATAAATCACCTGGTTTCCATTTGTCCAGACTGTGTGAAGGATGTCTCCCCCCACTTTTTTTTTTTCTTAAAATTTCTCTCATGTTCTTCTTTTTTTCTTTCCTATTTTCTCAGCTGTATCATTTCAAAATAACCACACAATTCCATTCTCTACTTTCTGGTAAGTAGTTTTATCTGTAAATCACAATTGCTCATCTCTGCATTGTGCCTCTTCTTGGGTCCCATCATTGTCATAAACAAATCCATGAATAAATAGATATCTTACGCTGTTTTCACTGATGGAGCATAGACACCGTTCTCTCCTGAAATAACATCAACAGGGTTTGGTCATCAGTCAATGTGAACTTGCCTCCCATCAATATCCTGACTCTTGTGTTGAGGCTGCATGGTGTTCAGTAGGTACCTCTGTCAGATAAAGCTCACATCAAGTCCATTTTGTGACCACTTACTCATAGACTAAAAGAGAGTTCTAGAGAGACTATATTTATCTTTATTTGGAAGAAGATGTCCTAAACATGCACATTCATGTCCTATTTTAAATTTTTGGAATTATCCCCAAGTGTGAAATGTTGGGGATTTACAGCTCTGGATCTCTACTATGGGCCACTTATTGCTTTTCCAATATTCCTTTTTTTCTCTTTTGGTTTATTCAAGGGGTTCACTGTCTTTGATCGATCCTACTGATACAGTTAGGGCACAGTTCTTAGTGGGTAGTCAGTACACACAGTGGATGTTCATGAAGCACAGTGGATAACTGCAAATGTCACATAATGAAGAAAACAACAGGTTTCATGTGCAGTTGCTCCATACCCCGTTGTTTTAAATTTTTAATTGGCATATGATAATTTTATATACTTATGGGGTGCAATACAATATTTTGATAGATGTATATATTGTGTAATAATCAAGTCAGGGTAATTAACATATCTATTACCTGAACTTTTCCCATTTCTTTCTTGTGAGACCATTCAAAAATCCTTTCTTCTTGCTACATGAGATATGAAATATGTTGTCATTAGCTATAGTCACCTTGCTGTGCAGTAGAATACCAAAGCCACTTACTCCTGTCTAACTGTAGCATCCATTGGCTGAGTCCTCCCCACCTGGCTCTTACCCCTGTGACTCCCAGCATCTGCTAGGCCACTCTCAACTTCTGGGACATCAACTTTTTGAGATCCCACAGCTGAGTGAGAACATGAGACACTTGTCTTTCTGTACCTGATTTATTTCCTTTAATATAGTGGTCCATCTGGGTTCATCATGTCACAAATGACAGCATTTCAACATTTTTATGTCCCCTAAATGTGCACCAATGTGTTTTACTACTATTAATTAGTAATAATAATGAAAATCTCCTGCATTTCTGACACCCAGTATAGAGCTCATTCCTGTGATCCACGGGAACACACCCGTCACACCCATCAGTGAACTTGGGACCTTGTGTCAATTTGTCAATGTCCCTATGCCCTCTCTTTCTTGAACACAGGTTTTTGTTTTTGTTTTCCTTGGGAAATTTTATTTTCCTGATATGAAATCATGTATTTTTAATTAAAAACACAGCAGATCCAATTGATCAGCTACTGATTTCCAGTCACAACAAGGATGTCCTTTTAAAGTGGTCAGCTGTGTTGCCACCCTTGATGGTAGAGGAACTGCTGCTGCAGGATCTTTAATTCTAGTTGTGCAGTCTCCTCTGTTTTTTTGAGTTTGGGAGGAGAAAAGTCACTTTTGATGACTCACTCCCTTCTCATGAAAGAGTTCAGCATTTTCTTTGAATTGTTACATAAGCATTACTGTTTTTGTAACCTCTGTCTAGAACATGGTTGGCAAACATTGTATGTACAAGACCAGCCAGTAGACAGCTTAGACTTAAATGGCCCATAAGTGACAACTATTCAACAATCTTGACATAGTTGGAAAACAACAGTAGATAAGAAGTAGATAAGTAAGCATGGCTGTGTACCAGTAATCTTATTTACAACAACAAGCAGTGGGATGGATTTGCTAACCTCAAATAATAAGGTCTTACATTGCTTACTATAGATTCTTGCTCTATGAAACTTTTTTAAATTAGCGAACTAATTATTTGGAATAAAGGAGGTACAGCATTTAATTAGGCAGTGATCAATATTGGAAGTTTATGCTTTCAATGGAAGTTTCTGTGTAGGAAGCATCTTGGTGGTAATATGATCTAAAATAATGCACAAAATCTCAAGATTGAGAAGCAAAAAGTCATCATTTTGATATTTCACTGGGCAGCAGAGGGAAAAGACAAGGCATTTTTCTCAGACAGCTCTGACAAATCTCAAGAATGAGTGTTAAATGGTACTTACAGGGTTTGTGAGTGATGTTTGGAACCTCAGTCCCTTGGACCAATGGAAGGTGGCAGGTGGGGTTGGGGTCCTGGAAAGCAGAGCACCGTCTGCTGGTATCATTGGCCTGGCTGGGCAGTGGACTTCACTGTTTAAAATGCTGTGATCATTTTATTTAATACAATTCTTCACTTCTCTGGCTCAAATACATTTGGCTTGTTGGCTTATTATGTAGACTCTCAAAGTGGGATTTTGAGATTTTTCTGTGTTTTTTTTTTTCCTGAAGAAGCTTTTTAACCTACAAAATTGTAAATTATTCTTTGGAGAGAAATCAGAAGGATATTCAGACTTCAGAATCCTGGGCAGATTTGGCAGTGGTGTCTGGGAAGGAGTCATGTTGTATAGTTGCTGCCCAGGGTGCTGAATAATCAACTCTGTCCTCTGTCCCTTGTACTGTGTGTGTGTGTGTGTGTGTGTGTGTAAACCCAGAAAAAGCCTGCCCATAATTAAAAAGAATCAAAGTTAGTGAGTGATGAAGGAATAAGTCCTTGTCCTAAACATGCCTATACACTCAGGAGTGACTGGGGAGTTTTAATTAGATCATTCTAGGAGTA